GATAGAATGAAACTAACTCTTCTTCTGTTGGGTAGAACCTAAAACCAGGTGGCAGATCTTCCATTACCCTTTCTCTCTCTTGATTAGTCACACATAGGTATATATGTTTTGGATTTGGTTCTCTATTTATGGAGGAGGGCATGGAGAGAAAAAAGAGACTGACGATTGAGATGACAAAAGGCTGAGATCTTTGACATTGAGGCTGCTGGGAAATTTCCATGTTGCCGGTGGGAGATATATCTTGTTCATTCCACTGCTACTTAATTCCCTACTAGAATTACTTAATATTTTATCTTCCACTTAATTGGCAGACTTCTCTTGTCAAAAGTCATGCCGTCCATCCAATTAGATGTTTACGATCTCTTATTATATCCTATATTTTTCTTAATTAATGATAGGGATGTATCTTAGTTAAACAATATGTCTCAACCAACGTGAAATTCCCTACAATACATTTTTTTCACTAATCTCTTTTTGATCGGTCACCTACAATACATTTAGGTTAAACTCAGTCCATACAACTGAATCTCTTAATCATTAATTAGAGGAAATCTTGATCTATTTTATCCGTTCTCTCACAGGTATTTGTGATTTACTCTTGAAGTGATGAATCCAAAGTAATCTTACCTTGCTTGGAGAGGTTACTTGTAAACAATATTAAAAAAAAATGGCATTCTTTAAGTTAATTTTGTATTCATTGGGTGTTCTGGTTTATAAGCCAAAATTACTCCCATTTGTTTTCTTAATGAAATGGGTATACAAGACACATTTTTGGGAAAAATGGTTATTGGTATTTGCAAAGAGCAGTGGGAGTGGCAATGACAGTGAGGGACGTGTTGTACATGAAGTAGAGGAAGTAATTTTAACACATTATTTATTAATTTGTTCAATTCATTTATAAATTAACAGATTGAGTACCTATATTAAGTAATGCAAGTTCAAAATAGGTTGGACAATGGAACTCATTTTTGTATATGTATTTTTGGTATATTAATGTGTATATTTTGATGTATTAATATGTATATTTTTTATTGTGTATTAACATCTATTTCATTTGGTGTAGTAGTATGCGTTTATATTAAGAGTTTTAATTATTTTATGGGTTAATAGATTTAACTCAACCCAATATACTCGTTTATTAAATGGGTTGAAAATAGATTGGATTGGTTTTGCACTTAACCTATATTGAATTAATCCATAACCAATTCAATCCGCTCATTTGTCACCTCTACTTTAAATTCATCCTTGTCAGAATAAATCTCGGATACCTGTAATCATATACAAATGGGGTTTTGTTAGTTATGTAGTTATAATAGTACATTTGCTATCTAATACATTTAGCTTGATTTATAATATATAATATGGATGTATGGTGTAAAAAATATATAATTTATATATGTATCAGCGATGCCCTGTGACTAAAATCATTGTACACTGAATTATTACACTGTGCATACATTTGAATGTGTATATGTATGTGCAGCTGTGTGTTATGAAGAGTGTGTGTGTTGAGTTCTTGAAATTTGGAGAGAAAAGTGTGTTGGGTGTGTGAAATTTTGGGGGAGAGGGAATATACCATTTTTAAGTTTAAACTCTTATCTGTTTTATTATACAAATTTAAAATAATTATATAAAAATACGGGACCAAATTTGACTAACAAAATATTTGACCAAATTAGATACGATCAAAGAAATTATAATGGACCAAATTTGTCTAACAAAATATTTGACCAAATTAGACACGATAAAAGAAATTGTAATCTAATCCAAGTTTACAAACTCTCGTAACAAGAAGGTTTTTTGTTAAAAACTTGTATAATTAATAAAATATTAATGAAATAATATGTTATTATTACACAATACATTACTTTTAAAGTTTGATATGTTTTTTGATATATGACTTAACTACTATAATCTTATGTGTCCTCCATCAGCAATTTACTCTCTGGCATATCATCTTTATATGTGTTTGTGATGCAGGGCTCTTGTCAAGGTCACTGCAGAAGCAACTGTCAAGGCCATCATCAATCTGTTACTTCATATTATTTATTTACTTTGCCATTGTTGTTAATGATGTAAAAAAATTATTTAAAATTGAAGTTATTGATCTCACTTTTAATAAAAATAAAATTATTAATTTCATTTTTCAAAAGTGTAATAATTTAATAAATAATTTTAAAAACCACTGTAATTTGATGATTTTATTTAAAAAATACCATATTTTGATACTTAATTCCAGAAACCCCATTCAATGGGTCGGGCTGAACTTGACCATATTAATGGTCAGCCTAGTTTTGGTCATGAGCCTATTCTTCTCTAACCTGCACTAGTTTACAAATTTACAAGTTAAAAAGGACCTTTGTTTCCATTCAAACACACATAAAAAAAAAATATATAATAATATAACCAAATCTACAAAAACGGTGGAAATTCCAATCATCCGGTTTATTGTGTGAATCCGAATCTACAATAGCGGCAGCAGGTGGATTCGATACCCAAAACGGCGACCATAATCACTTTGGCAAAGTGTGAAATTTCACACAACAATGACTTTAGAGAGTCGTGATAAGGTATCAAAATGCAAATTCCAAGCACCTGCACATGTTAAAGTGTTAGTTATTTACTGTTTTTTATTCCAAATAATATAACCTTGTGGAAAAAATAATGATTAAAAGGTCAACATTAGGTTACGTTATCGAATTATTAATCGACCGACTTGAATTTGGCTGTCTAGAAAAATATGGCACTCTATTTTCACATCGGGTGGGTCCACCGGGCCTGATTTTAATGGGTTATTTCTTTTAAAAAATTTCTCATATTTGATGTATTTTTCAAATTAAAAATTTTTTTTATGGCCAAAAAAAATTAATGTTTCAGACCAGCCGACAGGTCAAGCCTTCTTTCTGACTGTTCAAAAAAAAAAAACAGCCTCCTTTGTGGGCTGATGTGAGCTCAAATGGGCACATGACTTGCCCAGTGGGCCGTCTTTAATGGTTTACCTATTTCAAAAATCTCCCAAATTTGACGTATTTGTATAAAATATCATTTTGATGGGCCAATATATCAAGCCTCCATTGTGGGCTAAGGCGAGCCACCCACACAATCCTACCACAGTGGCTTTCCAGCTTTCATGTGGAGGTCTATCCTGAAATACCTCTCTGCCCAATAGTTAATGGGCTTCAAGCCCAAATGTAGAAGCTTAGTAATATGGTAGATCTTTGGGAAAATTGGGTGTGTGTGCACAATTTAGTTTAGCTTTTATTCATATTACTTATTTACCCTTCCTTAAATAATGCCTAATTGATTGATAGTTTATTTTCTAATTAAATATGCAAAGATTTGATTAAATTTTATCATTTATTTGAATTTTGAATAACAGCATCTTCTTCAATCATTGCCTTCAACACCTAGTTTTTTTTTTTTTGGTACTCCTTCTCTGGTTGTACTTTCAGTTTCGACAGAAAACTAAAGGAAATCATCAGCATTTTTGTTATTCTTTGTATTTTTCTTCAATTTTTAGTATATTCTTCTAAAGTTGGTTTTCTTAATCAATTGAGTATTTTTACCAAATACAAATTCAAATTTTCGATCATCATCCCCGACCAACTGATAACTATTTAATAATTCTATTTTTTTTAAATGCCCATATTTTTTTTTCCAACCAAACAAATTCGATGTTTAAAGTTAAAAGTTTTTTTTTTTTTGGAATTTGTGTAATTTAGAATCTGTGTTGTAGATTATCAATCCAACTCTTAAGATATTGGTATTTTGGTGGCATGTTTGAGGATTTATCATAGGTGAAACTGTTTTTTGGTTTAGATGTTTTCTGTCAAATTCTTTTTTTTTTTTTTTAAAATATCAATTCGTATATTTTATGGAGACACAAATGTATGGTATATTTTTTGGATATTAGTTTCAATTGTTGTACCAATTTTTAGGTTGAAATTGTATGCCTGTAGTTGTTAAAAAAATCGTAGCAGCATTTTATGTTTATAAAATATCTAAATTATAGTATTATTTGATACGGTTTGGTAAGTACTCGTGTTTTCAATGACAAATTAATGGGTTTCCTTGCTCTTCATATTGTATCCGCGATACGTAAAAGTGAGAGAAATATCAAATAATTTGTAGATTATTATTATTATATCAGCACATAAAAGAAATCATATGTTCAAGCTATATTTGCAATTCTGACTATTGGTCGCCCAAACTTCCAAGTGGACGAAGTTGAAATTTTGCCCCCATCAACTAAGAAGTAGTCTAGTTGACCCACAAAATATAGAATATAGTTAAGGGGAACTTATTAGACAAATTCGATGTGATCGTTAACAAGAAAACTTAATGAGCCTACGTGATTGGATACTATTTTAAATTAATAAAATTTTATTACATTTTTTTTTAGTATCATGCTATTTTTTTGGTAATTGATGTATTATTTTTTGTCATTTTATGCATACATGTTATTGTGAAACTTATAATTTAAGGAACCAGACTACATGGTGTAGCTCTTTTCATAGTGATGAAGCATATAGGTTGTGGGAATATTGCAACAAAACAGAAACATAAAGATCTTTTTTTTTTTTTTTTTTTTTTTACAATTGGGGAGAAAAAAGAGTTGTAATGATAAGCTTTTTGATATAATAGTAACTCTTACAACTCTTTTTTAAAGAAAGATATATCACTTGAAAGGTACTAATTAAACAAGGAGAATCATATACCCTATGCAACAGAGCTCAAAATTAATCAAACTCAAACCAAGCATATCAAATTACAAAGAAACAAATTTCAGCCTGCTATTATCAAATTGCTTCTTTTTACACGAAATTTTGAGCAAAACATTGTAGGTTTCCAAATTGGGTGACACACCCATGGTTTCAAAGTACCTAAAAAATAACTTAGCTAGATTCCATTGTTTAGATACAACGAAAGCAACAACAGTAATTGTCCGTAGATATAAAAATTACAACATTCTACAATTCTAGGTTAGATATAAAAATTACCTAAAATTGTGTTAGATTTGAGCTTGTCTTAGTTGTTCTTTGTAACAAATCTGATCCTTGTTTCGCCGAGAGGGAAGCTCCGAGATTGATAGCAGCAGGCCTCTACAGAGATGGAGTCTCAGATCTCAGATAGAGATGCAGATCTGAAGAGAGTGTCTGCGAGAGAGAGGGAGAGACGAGAAGATGAGATGATAGAGAGAGAGAGCAAAGAGCGATCGGGGTTTTTTTTTCAGATGGATTGGCCATTACCGAGTGGATGGGGAATGAAGAATACCATGTTAGATTTGGAAATGCCTAATCCCATAATTTGTGGGATTAGGTATACCTTTGGAATGGAAATGAATTTTAAATCCTGCAAACCAAACATTGGAATAGGATTCCTATGGAATGCTCATTCCATTCCTAAGGCCTAATACCATGTACTAAACATAGCGTTACGCTCCGTTTGGTACGCAGTAATGCATTTATGTAGGAATAGAATAGACATGAGAATAGAATAAAATGTGTATTACCATTCTAATGTTTGACAATTAATTAGGATTAAGTCTTAGAATGAAATGTTCATTCCATTCCAAAGTTTGGATAAAATAATTTCTATTAGAATTGAATGAAATTTAACNGGGGATTAATTTCCTTAGTCAAACCCACATCCACATGTAGGGTTAGGGTTTAAGCCTAGAACACTAAAACTTGTCCTATAGATCGCCAATTTTACAAGAAAATTCAAGCCCACGTATAAATTTAAGGTTAAATGTTATTGGATTTAATTTTCTGTTTTAATTCATTATAACTTTTAGATTGACTGTGAGTTTCATAAAATATTGGAACTTGATGTTGATTCAATAATTCCACTGAAACCACAAATTAAATCAAATTTTTAGATTTAAATAGCATTACTCCTAAATTTACTTGTATGCAATTAAGGCAAACCTTTGGAGCTGCACTTGTTGAAGAAGAAGCTTCTCCGGCTAAGGCTTTGTACTCGTTCATCTTCCACTCTGTCTTTCTACCACCTGGAGCTCTTCCTCGGTAGAAAACCATGGTTCTCTTCACTCCAATTATTTGATTACTCGAGTAAACATTGCCCGGAGAACCAGTGGCTTTCCAATATCCGATAGTCGTGAGTCGATTAGGTCTTCCTCCATGGGCTTCTCTCTCTTGCCGAGGAACGAAGAAAAACCACTGCTCCGGGTCTCCTTGACATAACTCCCCTGCAAATTCTGGCACCAAAACAATAAAAGAAAAATTGTAGATCTTGCTTTTATTTTTGTGGAATGTAAATGATCTTGCTTGGCTGCTCCATTTCTAAGGATCCAAGCTAATGCTCGATTAGCTAGCGAACAGAAAACCAAGCTTGCAATGATTATAAAGAACGTCAGAAACGAAAATCTAAGAGCCAGAAACGTCGAAGTAGCAAAAGCAGTGCTATGTCTTCGGACCGCAGTTGGTTGAGTAGGTTATTCTTGTTTTATATCGATAATTTAAAAAAAAAAAAAAAAGAAAAGATGAAAAGGTGGTATACAAAGATTACAATCGAAGTGAGAAACAAAATGTCTTCTAGGCTCTAGCTTGACAAGAGCAAAGAAAATAAATGTAAAGAAAATTAAGCAAAAGTAAAAATTTGACCATTTTTTTACAGATAACCAAGAAGAAGAAGATGAAAGGACATGAGAGATGAGAGTTTTACTGACGTGGGAGGTCCCATGGATTGTACTTATAAATATCAACCGCTGGTATAGCCAGGTCGAGGTCTTGTCTCCTTCCTTCAAGTTTATTCTGCAGATAGAATGAAACTAACTCTTCTTCTGTTGGGTAGAACCTAAAACCAGGTGGCAGATCTTCCATTACCCTTTCTCTCTCTTGATTAGTCACACATAGGTATATATGTTTTGGATTTGGTTCTCTATTTATGGAGGAGGGCATGGAGAGAAAAAAGAGACTGACGATTGAGATGACAAAAGGCTGAGATCTTTGACATTGAGGCTGCTGGGAAATTTCCATGTTGCCGGTGGGAGATATATCTTGTTCATTCCACTGCTACTTAATTCCCTACTAGAATTACTTAATATTTTATCTTCCACTTAATTGGCAGACTTCTCTTGTCAAAAGTCACGCCGTCCATCCAATTAGATGTTTACGATCTCTTATTATATCCTATATTTTTCTTAATTAATGATAGGGATGTATCTTAGTTAAACAATATGTCTCAACCAACGTGAAATTCCCTACAATACATTTTTTTCACTAATCTCTTTTTGATAGGTCACCTACAATACATTTAGGTTAAACTCAGTCCATACAACTGAATCTCTTAATCATTAATTAGAGGAAATCTTGATCTATTTTATCTGTTCTCTCACAGGTATTTGTGATTTACTCTTGAAGTGATGAATCCAAAGTAATCTTACCTTGCTTGGAGAGGTTACTTGTAAACAATATTAAAAAAAAATGGCATTCTTTAAGTTAATTTTGTATTCATTGGGTGTTCTGGTTTATAAGCCAAAATTACTCCCATTTGTTTTCTTAATGAAATGGGTATACAAGACACATTTTTGGGAAAAATGGTTATTGGTATTTGCAAAGAGCAGTGGGAGTGGCAATGACAGTGAGGGACGTGTTGTACATGAAGTAGAGGAAGTAATTTTAACACATTATTTATTAATTTGTTCAATTCATTTATAAATTAACAGATTGAGTACCTATATTAAGTAATGCAAGTTCAAAATAGGTTGGACAATGGAACTCATTTTTGTATATGTATTTTTGGTATATTAATGTGTATATTTTGATGTATTAATATATATATTTTTTATTGTGTATTAACATCTATTTCATTTGGTGTAGTAGTATGCGTTTATATTAAGAGTTTTAATTATTTTATGGGTTAATAGATTTAACTCAACCCAATATACTCGTTTATTAAATGGGTTGAAAATAGATTGGATTGGTTTTGCACTTAACCTATATTGAATTAATCCATAACCAATTCAATCCGCTCATTTGTCACCTCTACTTTAAATTCATCCTTGTCAGAATAAATCTCGGATACCTGTAATCATATACAAATGGGGTTTTGTTAGTTATGTAGTTATAATAGTACATTTGCTATCTAATACATTTAGCTTGATTTATAATATATAATATGGATGTATGGTGTAAAAAATATATAATTTATATATGTATCAGCGATGCCCTGTGACTAAAATCATTGTACACTGAATTATTACACTGTGCATACATTTGAATGTGTATATGTATGTGCAGCTGTGTGTTATGAAGAGTGTGTGTGTTGAGTTCTTGAAATTTGGAGAGAAAAGTGTGTTGGGTGTGTGAAATTTTGGGGGAGAGGGAATATACCATTTTTAAGTTTAAACTCTTATCTGTTTTATTATACAAATTTAAAATAATTATATAAAAATACGGGACCAAATTTGACTAACAAAATATTTGACCAAATTAGATACGATCAAAGAAATTATAATGGACCAAATTTGTCTAACAAAATATTTGACCAAATTAGACACGATAAAAGAAATTGTAATCTAATCCAAGTTTACAAACTCTCGTAACAAGAAGTTTTTTGTTAAAAACTTGTATAATTAATAAAATATTAATGAAATAATATGTTATTATTACACAATACATTACTTTTAAAGTTTGATATGTTTTTTGATATATGACTTAACTACTATAATCTTATGTGTCCTCCATCAGCAATTTACTCTCTGGCATATCATCTTTATATGTGTTTGTGATGCAGGGCTCTTGTCAAGGTCACTGCAGAAGCAACTGTCAAGGCCATCATCAATCTGTTACTTCATATTATTTATTTACTTTGCCATTGTTGTTAATGATGTAAAAAAATTATTTAAAATTGAAGTTATTGATCTCACTTTTAATAAAAATAAAATTATTAATTTCATTTTTCAAAAGTGTAATAATTTAATAAATAATTTTAAAAACCACTGTAATTTGATGATTTTATTTAAAAAATACCATATTTTGATACTTAATTCCAGAAACCCCATTCAATGGGTCGGGCTGAACTTGACCATATTAATGGTCAGCCTAGTTTTGGTCATGAGCCTATTCTTCTCTAACCTGCACTAGTTTACAAATTTACAAGTTAAAAAGGACCTTTGTTTCCATTCAAACACACATAAAAAAAAAATATATAATAATATAACCAAATCTACAAAAACGGTGGAAATTCCAATCATCCGGTTTATTGTGTGAATCCGAATCTACAATAGCGGCAGCAGGTGGATTCGATACCCAAAACGGCGACCATAATCACTTTGGCAAAGTGTGAAATTTCACACAACAATGACTTTAGAGAGTCGTGATAAGGTATCAAAATGCAAATTCCAAGCACCTGCACATGTTAAAGTGTTAGTTATTTACTGTTTTTTATTCCAAATAATATAACCTTGTGGAAAAAATAATGATNAAGCACCTGCACATGTTAAAGTGTTAGTTATTTACTGTTTTTTATTCCAAATAATATAACCTTGTGGAAAAAATAATGATTAAAAGGTCAACATTAGGTTACGTTATCGAATTATTAATCGACCGACTTGAATTTGGCTGTCTAGAAAAATATGGCACTCTATTTTCACATCGGGTGGGTCCACCGGGCCTGATTTTAATGGGTTATTTCTTTTAAAAAATTTCTCATATTTGATGTATTTTTCAAATTAAAAATTTTTTTTATGGCCAAAAAAAATTAATGTTTCAGACCAGCCGACAGGTCAAGCCTTCTTTCTGACTGTTCAAAAAAAAAAACAGCCTCCTTTGTGGGCTGATGTGAGCTCAAATGGGCACATGACTTGCCCAGTGGGCCGTCTTTAATGGTTTACCTATTTCAAAAATCTCCCAAATTTGACGTATTTGTATAAAATATCATTTTGATGGGCCAATATATCAAGCCTCCATTGTGGGCTAAGGAGAGCCACCCACACAATCCTACCACAGTGGCTTTCCAGCTTTCATGTGGAGGTCTATCCTGAAATACCTCTCTGCCCAATAGTTAATGGGCTTCAAGCCCAAATGTAGAAGCTTAGTAATATGGTAGATCTTTGGGAAAATTGGGTGTGTGTGCACAATTTAGTTTAGCTTTTATTCATATTACTTATTTACCCTTCCTTAAATAATGCCTAATTGATTGATAGTTTATTTTCTAATTAAATATGCAAAGATTTGATTAAATTTTATCATTTATTTGAATTTTGAATAACAGCATCTTCTTCAATCATTGCCTTCAACACCTAGTTTTTTTTTTTTGGTACTCCTTCTCTGGTTGTACTTTCAGTTTCGACAGAAAACTAAAGGAAATCATCAGCATTTTTGTTATTCTTTGTATTTTTCTTCAATTTTTAGTATATTCTACTAAAGTTGGTTTTCTTAATCAATTGAGTATTTTTACCAAATACAAATTCAAATTTTCGATCATCATCCCCGACCAACTGATAACTATTTAATAATTCTATTTTTTTTAAATGCCCATATTTTTTTTTCCAACCAAACAAATTCGATGTTTAAAGTTAAAAGTTTTTTTTTTTTTTTTGGGAATTTGTGTAATTTAGAATCTGTGTTGTAGATTATCAATCCAACTCTTAAGATATTGGTATTTTGGTGGCATGTTTGAGGATTTATCATAGGTGAAACTGTTTTTTGGTTTAGATGTTTTCTGTCAATTTCTTTTTTTTTTTTTTTTNTCTGTGTTGTAGATTATCAATCCAACTCTTAAGATATTGGTATTTTGGTGGCATGTTTGAGGATTTATCATAGGTGAAACTGTTTTTTGGTTTAGATGTTTTCTGTCAAATTCTTTTTTTTTTTTTTTAAAATATCAATTCGTATATTTTATGGAGACACAAATGTATGGTATATTTTTTGGATATTAGTTTCAATTGTTGTACCAATTTTTAGGTTGAAATTGTATGTCTGTAGTTGTTAAAAAAATCGTAGCAGCATTTTATGTTTATAAAATATCTAAATTATAGTATTATTTGATACGGTTTGGTAAGTACTCGTGTTTTCAATGACAAATTAGTGGGTTTCCTTGCTCTTCATATTGTATCCGCGATACGTAAAAGTGAGAGAAATATCAAATAATTTGTAGATTATTATTATTATATCAGCACATAAAAGAAATCATATGTTCAAGCTATATTTGCAATTCTGACTATTGGTCGCCCAAACTTCCAAGTGGACGAAGTTGAAATTTTGCCCCCATCAACTAAGAAGTAGTCTAGTTGACCCACAAAATATAGAATATAGTTAAGGGGAACTTATTAGACAAATTCGATGTGATCGTTAACAAGAAAACTTAATGAGCCTACGTGATTGGATACTATTTTAAATTAATAAAATTTTATTACATTTTTTTTTAGTATCATGCTATTTTTTTGGTAATTGATGTATTATTTTTTGTCATTTTATGCATACATGTTATTGTGAAACTTATAATTTAAGGAACCAGACTACATGGTGTAGCTCTTTTCATAGTGATGAAGCATATAGGTTGTGGGAATATTGCAACAAAACAGAAACATAAAGATCTTTTTTTTTTTTTTTNGTCTTAGTTGTTCTTTGTAACAAATCTAATCCTTGTTTCGCCGAGAGGGAAGCTCCGAGATTGATAGCAGCAGGCCTCTACAGAGATGGAGTCTCAGATCTCAGATAGAGATGCAGATCTGAAGAGAGTGTCTGCGAGAGAGAGGGAGAGACGAGAAGATGAGATGATAGAGAGAGAGAGCAAAGAGCGATCGGGGTTTTTTTTTCAGATGGATTGGCCATTACCGAGTGGATGGGGAATGAAGAATACCATGTTAGATTTGGAAATGCCTAATCCCATAATTTGTGGGATTAGGTATACCTTTGGAATGGAAATGAATTTTAAATCCTGCAAACCAAACATTGGAATAGGATTCCTATGGAATGCTCATTCCATTCCTAAGGCCTAATACCATGTAC